CCAAAGTGCTTGGATTACAGGCATGAGCCACCATGCCCGGCCAGAACTTCCTTATAACACCTCCTAAGAAACTGAGTTCACAGGAACGTGAAAGCAAGACAGCTGTATGGATGCGAACGGCAGTGTAAGTTAGGAAGCCAAAGAACAAACACGGAACACTAGGAAACGCCTAGCATTCTAAGAAATCACACACACCAACGATTATCTGTTTACCACGTTAGCTCTTATAAAAGTGAAGGAAACAACTTCTCATTTTAGTTGCTACTATAAAGACATTTAATTATTTCACAAACCCTTCACCTTGCATTAAAATATAGCAATATAAGCCGGGTGTGCATGGTGGCTCCTGCCTGTAATCCCAGCACTTCTGGGAGGCTGAGGTGGGCGGATCACAAAGTCAAGAGAGCAAGACCAGCCTGGCCAACATGGTGAAACCCTAACTCTACTAAAAATACAAAAGTTAGCCGGGCATGGTGGCACACCTGTAATCCCAGTTACTCAGGAGGCTGAGGCAGAATTGCTTGAACCTGGGAGTTGGAGGTTGCAGTGAGCTGAGATCACAACACTGCACTCCAGCCTGGTGGCAGGGTGACACTCTGTCTCAAAAAAAACAAAAAACAAAAAAACAAAAAAAATCACTGGTGTATTAGGTTTTCCGTCCCTTGAAATAGTTTTGTCTATCCCTGATAAACCATACCAATCTTCTTCCAGATTCTATGAACTTTGGACTTTCGTGGATACAATTTCTTCTGCCTGAAACACTGTTACTACCTCCTGTGCCTTGTCTGCTTTCACCATTCACCTGTGGGCTGAAATGTTACTTTCTCAGGTAAGTCTTGCTTGAGCCCTAGATGAGGTTAAATACACTTGCTATTTATTCCTTATGCCCTCCCTTGGTTAACACTCACATCTTATAATTACTGGGTTAATACCTGTCTCTTCCACCACACTACATACTCTTTAAGAGCAAGTATCTGCTTTGTCCACTGTCATCGAAGTGAGCGGCACTCAATATACGCCCAATAAACATTTGCTTAGTGAACAATAATGCCACAACCCTTTAGTGTTCTGGACCACACCTCGAGTATGTCTTGACCTTATATAAAGTGACTCCTGTGAACTCTATATCAAGTTCTACTTCTGTCAGATTCTCACAGTGTAAATTGTGTTTCTCTCCCTTTGCCTTTGCACAAATCTGCAAAGCGCCAACTTCTTGAACAAATCTGCGTGGTTCTTTCCACTACCACTTCATGTTTTCACAATACACGTAGACACGAGAGGGAAGGTGCTATGTGTTTTCTCGGAAACCTTTTAAAAAAGTAGATCTTTCACTAATATGACTTTTTTTTTTTTTTTTAATGGAGTCTTGCTTTGTCGCCCAGGCCGGAGTGCAATGGCACAATCTCAGCTCACTACAACCTCTGCCCCAGCCTCCTGAGTAGCTGGGATTACAGGAGTGCACCACCACGCCCAGCTAATTGTTTTTTTTTTTTTTTTTTTAAGAGATTGAGTTTTGTTCTGTCACCAGGCTAGAGTGTAGTGGCGCCAATCTCAGCTCACTGCAACCTCAGCCTCCCGGGTTCAAGCAATTCCCCTGCCTAAGCCTCCCAAATAGCTGGGACTACAGGTGCACCCAGCTAATTTTTTGTATTTTAGTAGAGATGGGGTTTCACCATGTTGGCCAGGATGGTCTCGATCTCCTGACCTCATGATCCCCCCACCTCAGCCTCCCAAAGTGCTGGGATTGCAGGTGTGAGCCACCATGCCGGTCTAATTTTTATATTTTTAGTAGAGACGGGATTTCACTACATTGGTCAGGCTGGTCACAAACTCCTGACCTCACAATCCTCCCACCTCGGCCTCCTAGTCCTGGGATTACAGGTGTGAGCCACCGGGCCCGGCCGACTTTTTTTTTGAGACAGAGTCTTGTTCTGTCACTAGGCTGGAGTACAATGGCACAATCTTGGCTCACTGCAGCCTCTGCCTCCCAGGTTCAAGCCATTCTCCTGCCTCAGTCTTCCACGTAGCTGGGATTACAGGCACCTGCCACCATGTCCAGCTAATTTTTGCATTTTTAGTAGAGATGGGGTTTCACCACATTGGCCAGGCTGGTCTCGAACTCCTGACCTCAGATGATCTGCTCACCTTGGCCTCCCAAAGTGCTGGGATTATAGGTGTGAGCCACCGTGTCTGGCCATGACTATTATTTTTCAGGGCTGGGATGCTTTAAAGGTACTTTTTTTTTTTTTTTTTTAAGGAAAACATAAGAAACACACAAACTACATTATCTGAATTCTGGCCATGTACAGGAAGACATTCTTAAAATATTTTAAAAGCCCCTGATTTTAAAGCGAACAGGACCTTTCAAAGGCATTACAAGCCAGGTGTGGTGGCTCCCGCCTGTAATCCCAGCACTTTGGGAGGCCAAAGTGGGCAGATCACCTGAGGTCAGGAGTTCAAGACCAGCCTGACCAATATGGTGAAAACCCATCTCTACTAAAAAAAAAAAAAAAAAAAATACAAAAATTAGCCGGGTATGGTGGCATGCGCCTGTAGTCCCAGCTACTCTAAAGGCTGAGGCAGGAGAATCGCTTGACCTCAGGAGATGGAGATTGCAGTGAGTGGAGATCGCACCACTGCACTCCAGCCTAGGCAAGAGAGAGACTCTTGTCTCAAAAAAAAAAAAAAAAAAAGGCATTGCAAGTTCCTGCTGATTTACTGCTCTATGTCCTCACCCTTCACGGCCACTGAAGGTTCTACATGTCTAACTCATTTTCACAAATGCAGCACTTTTGTCATATTGTAGAGGTAAAAGAAATAGGATCCTAGGAAGGAGGTAGTGAAATATTATAAACAAGAAATAGGGCAAGAGTGGGGGAAGAGAGAGCATCAGGAAGAAGAGCTAATGGATGCTGGGCTTAATACCTGGGTGATGGGGCGGCCTGTGCAGTAAACGACCATGGCACACGTTTCCCTATGTAACATATATGCAAATCCAAATCCTGCACATGTACGCCTGAATTTAAGATAAAAGTTGAAGGAAAAAAAAAAAAAAAAAGCAAGCACTCTAAGCGACAGTCTCAGTTTTACTGATTCACTGGGTAACCATGGATCAGTCTTCTTGACTCTAAGTGCCCAGTAGAGGTAATTCCCAAGACGCCTTCCAAAGAAAATATTTTGCTACCAAATCAATTTGCATTTTTTTTTTTAAAGGTGGGGTTTCACCATGATGGCCAGGCTGGTCTTGAACTCCTGATCTCAGATGATCCACGCACCTCGGCCTCCCAAAGTGCTACGATTACAGGCGTGAGCCACAGCGCCCGGCCCAATTTGCTTTCTTAATGATTTAGCAGACATGATCTTGGTGAATATATGAAAACTATATAATTACAAGTATTCACAGGAAACCTGGTATTTGCCTATCAGTTTCAGAGCCCATGAAAGTTTAAATGAGTCTAATATATGGTTCTTTAAAGATCTACAAACCAATGTGTATTTTGGAAAAGCTAGTTATTGCGTGAGGAGGATGGGTTTTAGAAGGTGAGCCTTTCCAGTATGTGCTGTCTTTCACATTTTATTCGGTGCCCACAATGAATTCGGAAGCTGCTGTCCAAAAACCCGGACAGGCCAATATAGCAAGATGGTTTTCACCGCCACTCCTCCTATCCTTATATCTCTTTTCAAACTGTTCTAGAACCCGATAAAAGATCTCCAGAGAGCAGCGCCAGTCAGCTGCACAAATGCCTGTATATTACAACAGACACAGACATATCTGGGTTTGTCCAGCTCTTCCGAGCAAGGACGGCCTAATCCGGGCTTTCCACACCTCTAACAGGCTCGAGACCAACCAAACGCCCGCTGAGACGCTGGAAGCACCTCGTGAGGGTCCCCGCCTGGCCTCTCCAAAGCAATCGCCCACCTCTTCCTTCAGTCCCCTGGGGGCGATCGCCCTGCCCCGCCCCCGCCCCCGCCGGCGCCGGCCCGCCCTGACCTCCTCGAACTGCTCGCCAGAGCCGCCGGCTCCGCGAGCCTCCAGCAGCTCCCGGAACTGCTCCAGAGTGACAGACTCTTCGCCGCGCCCCAGCCGCTCTTCCAGCCAGCGAAACAACGCGCCGCGGTGCCTCGACACCAGCGACTCGCAGGGGGGTGTGGGCAGCAACGCAGCGGCCGCCTCCCGCAGCCGGGCCGGCTCCAGCAGCGCCGCGGCGGGTGGTAGCGCCGGAGCCGCGAGGCCCGGGCCGGGGGTCGTGCCCGAGACCGTGGCCCAGTCCTGGTGGGGGCCCCAGCCCTCGCCCCCGGCGGCTGCCGCTTCGTCTTCACTGCTGTGACTCGGAGCGTTCCCCATGGGGTCTCCGTCTTGGGCGCCCGGCTCTGCAGCCGCTGCCGCCTCCCCGCCTCGACCTGTCAACCTCCGACAGCAGCCGGCGGGCGGGGACTGGCAGGAGACCGCGGCTGCGGCTGCGGCTGCGGCTGCGGCTTCCGGCTTCCTGGCCGTCAAGCGAGGACCGCTGTCGCAAAGATGCCGTCACGTAGGTAGGCGGTCTCTAGCAGCTCACGACAGCTAGGCGGCCGCGAAGAGAGCAACCTGGATTTCCCAGAGGACTAGTCCGTCTCAACGTTACGTCATTCCGCAGCCTCCGCTGCCGCCATCTTTGTTTCGGCAGACAGCCTGCAAGCCAAGAAGTACGAGAAAGGGCAGGGCGCCGTGGCTCACGCCTGTAATCCTAGCCCTTTGGGAGGCGGGTGGGTCACCAGAGGTCTGGAGTTCCAGACCAGCCTGACCAACGTGGTGAAACCCAGTCTCTACTAAATACAAAAACCTAGGCGGGCGTGGTGGCGGGTGCCTGCAATCCCAGGAGAATGTCTTGAACCCAGGAGGCGGAGGTGGCAGTGAGCCGAGATTGGGCCACTGTACTCTAGCCTGGGCGACAAAACCGAAAATTCTGTTAAAAAAAAAAAAAAAAAAAAAAAAGGGAAAAAAGAAAAAAAAAAAAAAAAAAAAAAAGGAAGTACGAGGAAAAAGTCGGAGTCAGACTGAGCTTTTCGCCAGAGACAGAGGAATACAGAGACCGAGAGAGAGGGAGCGCGCCGATGACGTCACGGTCGGCGTCTCCGCCATCTTAGTTTTGGACCGAGGGGCGGCAACTTCGGAAGTGCGCTGCGGGTGCGGTCGTGGAGATGCTGAGGCTTGGAGGCCGCGGGGTTTTGCTGGCCCTGGCCGTAGCCGCAGCAGCGGTGATGGCAGCACGGCTTACGGGCTGGTGGGGTCCCCGCGCTGGCGTTCGCCTTTTCATACCGGAGGAGCTGTCTCGCTACCGCGGCGGCTCTGGGGACCCGGGCCTCTACTTGGCGTTGCTCGGCCGTGTCTACGATGTGTCCTCCGGCCGGAGGCACTACGAGCCTGGGTCCCACTACAGCGGCTTCGCAGGTATCAGCGACGTTACTCAGGCCTTGGCCTCCGCCGGCGCGAGCCAGTAGCCACCTGCGCGTCGTTGGTTCATTCATACTTCATGTATCTTGCCCCCCACCCCGCATCCAGCGAACCCGCGCGGCGGGCAGGACTGAGCTGCACCATCCTTCTGGTCTCTGTGGCTCGGTCGGGACTACGGCCAGCTCTGTCATTCACCACCGCCCTGCGTGGCTGGTGGAGAAACGTGTCTTCTGTCTCTTGTTACCCATTACCCACCGTCGGAAGCCCGAGGATACGGGCTTTGTCCCAGACTTCTGTGGGTGCTCTCAGGGCACAGATAAATGAGATTCCGCCCCTACCCTCACCGTTTCCTTACTGATTCCACCCATCTCTTCCTTATGCCCGCATCCAAAGTAATCTTTCTTACCCCACCCCCTTAGCATAGTGTTTTCACGGTTCATCCATGGTTTGTCAGCATGTATCAGTACTTTATTCCTTTGTGGCCCGTCATGCAGTACATTTGGTCTGAGTCATTCTTGCTTCTAGTACAGATGCACATGTTTGTCTTTCTTAGAAAAGATTGAGGTTAAGGCGCTGGTCTTGCTGGGTGCAGTGGCTCATACCTGTAATCCCAGCACTTTGGAAGGCTGAGCTAGGCGGATCGCCTGAGTTCAGGAACAGCCTGGCCACCACTTTGGGAGGCTGAGGCAGGGGGATCACGAGGTCAGGGGTTCAAGACCAGCTAGGCCAAAACGGTGAAACCCCGTCTTTACTAAAATTAGGAAAATTAGCCGGACATGGTGGCAGCGCCGGAAATCCCAGCTACTCGGAGGCTGAGGCAGAGAATTGCTTGAACTCGGGAGGCAGAAATTGCAGTGAGCCAACATTGTGACACTGCACTCCAGCCTGGGGTGACAGAGTGAGGGTCCATCTCAGAAAAATTAGCTGGGTGTGGTGACAGGTGCTTGTAATCCCAGCTACTGGGGAGGCTGAGGCAGGAGAATTGCTTGAACCCAGGAGGCCAGGGTTGCAGTCAGCCAAGATTGTGCCACTGCACTCCAGCCTGGGTGACAGAGTGAGACACTGTCTCAAAAAAAAAAAAACCATTCTTGAGTTTGTATAGTGTCAGCCATTTACGACTGGATCTGATGGAAAGTTCTCTCCTACAGGCCGAGATGCATCCAGAGCATTTGTGACTGGGGACTACTCTGAAGCAGGCCTTGTGGATGATATATCTGACTTGTCATTCTCTGAGATGCTGACACTTCAAAGTTGGCTTTCGTTCTATGAGAAGAATTATGTATGTGTTGGTAAGTAGTCCACAGTTCATACGTGTCATGTGATTGTCTTGGAATGTTTTTAGGGGCCTGAGATTTTTTAGGGATTGGGCTCAGGGTTAAAATCTGGAAAACAGCCATGGATTTTTTTTACTTTAAATTCGAGTTGTTAGCAAAGGGCTGAGCCGTCCAGAAGGAGATGCACGGGCACCTGTTTCCTCCACTCCTGGCCGTGGGAGAGGGTTGCTGAGCTGTGTGCTTTGGCCTGGCTGCAGTGCAGCCAGTGGAGGCTTGCACCATCCTTCAGCAACGAGCTCCAGAAGGGCAGCTTCCCTGTCTCACTGTGCTCCATGCAGCTGGCTTCAGCATGCAGCCGGGAAGGCGTGTCGCCTAAATGTATGTTTCGACAAGTCACCTTTTATTTGGTCCTCTGGGAGGAGAGCAGCTTCCGGAGTAAGCTGTTTCCCAGGTGGGAGGTATGCTCATCAGACCTCTGTGGAGGGTACTGCACTTGCTTGCTACTTACTGCAGGTACATGAGGGACTCACTTCTCCAGTGGGAAGACACTGAACTGTGCCCTAAACCAGAGTGTTAAAGACACTGGCACTAGGTCCAGCGCAGTGGCTCACGTCTGAATCCCAGGACTTGGGGAAGCCGAGGTGGGTGGATCACTTGAGATCAGGAGTTCGAGACCAGCCTGGCCAACGTGGTGACACCCCATCTCTACTAAAAATACAAAAATTAACTGGGTATGGTAGTGTGCACCTGTAATCCCAGCTACTCAGGAGGCTGAGGCAGGAGAATCACTTGAACCCAGGAGGCAGGCAGAGGTTGCAGTGAGCCGAGATGGCACCATTGCACTCCAGCCTGGGCTACAGAGCAAGACTCCGTCTCAAAAAAAAAAGAAAAGGAAACCAACAACGAAAGACACTAAACACTAGATTTCTTCACGAGCACCCGCAGCTGGGATGTTTGTCCCCCTTTCTCCCATCTGTCTGCAGCGCTTACCTCTCACTGGAGTCCTACTTGGACATGACTGACTTCCTGAGGAAAAACTATCGTCACTTCATCAAACTACGTCTAGCTTGGAAGAATTCTCTCCTTAACGCCTCTGAATTTCTGCTTCTGTCATTACTGCTTGAACTGCCTTTTCTGAGGACCTTGGCATTTTTATTAACACCTCTGCTCCCTCCACATCCAGTTAGTTGAGGCTGCTTCGTCACATCCAAAGCTTTTGTCCATCCATTGTGGGCCTCTGCCTTTCTTCATTTTCTCTCATTCTGCCCAAGAGCATTCTTGAGACCACAACCCTGCCTGCCATCGAAGGCACTAGCCTCTGCTCACCTGCGCTTCAGAGGGCTCGGTTCTTCGCTTTCCCAATGAACTTGCCAAGCCAAGGTTGAAACATTATTGGGTTAATAAAAGAAAACCCAATAGAGAGAATAAGAGCTGGTTGCAGTGGCTCCCGCCTGTAATCCTAACACTTCGGGAGGCCAAGGCAGGTGGATCACTTGAGGTCAGGAGTTCAAGACCAGCCTGGCCAACGTGGTGAAACCCTGTCTCTATTAAAAATACAAAAATTAGCTGGGCGTGATGGTGGGCACCTGTAATCCCAGCTACCACGGAGGCTGAGATAGGAGAATTGCTTGAACCTGGGAGGCGATGTTGCGGTGAGCCGAGATCATGTCACTGCACTCCAGCCTGGGCAGCTGAGCAAAACTCTGTCTCAAAAAAAAAAAAAAAAAGAATGGAGTCCAGGCCAGGCGTGTTGGCTCACGCCTGTAATCCCAGCACTTTAGGAGGCAGAGGTGGTTGGATCACTTGAGGTCAGGAATTTAAGACCAGCATGGCCAACATGGCAAAACCATGTTTCTACTAAAAATTAAAAAAAAATTAGCTGAGTGTGGCGGCACACCTGTAGTCCCAGCTACTTGGGAGGCTGAAGCACAGGAATCACTTGAACCTGGAAGGCAGAGGTAGCAACAAGCTGAGATTACATCACTGCACTCCAGCCTGAGTGACGGACTGAGACCTTGTCTCAAAAAGGATAGAGTCTCGTAAATGGGCAAAGAATGCCAGGCCAAATACTTGATCTAAGATTTGGGAGCACACTTGAAGGTTCCTGGTGTGTTTGGTGTGGCCGGTGAACTGGCCTTGTTGCGATGATGTGTCGTGTGTGAGGTTGAGGTGGGGCATGTGGTGGGAAATGCCTCAGGGTTTTCGTTGATGTTGGGATCTTATTGAATACCTGCTGTTCAGAAGTTACAGTTTCCATCCTCGGGGTGGACCAGGGATGAGTTGAGTATAGTTCCTGCCCCTGTTAGCTGATTCTGTAGGGTAGGGGCCATGTTAGGCTCTTGAGGTCACCAGAAGCCCTCAGGGGATGAAGCTTTATTGTAAAGGCACATGCTGAAGTGAGGACAGCCAGGAAGCCATCTTGGCAGCCACCTGGCCAGGCCTCAAGGGAAAGCAAGATGGCCTTGGTTCTGCTGTGGACACAGGATTGGCTCGGAGACACAGCCAGCGGTGATTGCCGTTCTCATGACACAGCTTCTAGAACTCCTTTGTTTCTCTGCTACTGCTGTCCTGGCCTTGGGTCTCATGTGGAAAACTCACCAAGACAGTCTTGTCACCATGTAACACAGACATCCTAACCCCCGCAGTGGGAAGTTCTGTGCCAGGCCAACTCATAGACTGGAGGCCTGTGACTCGGGCCCTGTTCCCTTCCTTTATTCATCTAACAAGTATTTAAAATGAATGTTCTGTGCTAAGCTGTTTTGTTTATATATAAATATAAATAAAAGTGCAGTGGTGTGATCTCAGCTCACTGCAGCCTCTGCCTCCCAGGTTCAGGTGATCCTGCCTCAGCCTCCTGAGTGGCTGGGACTACAGGCGCGCGCCACCACTCCCGGCTCATTTTTTCTGTTTTTTTTTTAGTAGAGGGTTTCACTACGTTGGCCAGGATGGTCTTGATCTCTCGACCTCGTGATCCACCTGTCTCGGCCTCTCAAAGTGCTGGGATTACAAGCGTGAGCCACCATGCCTGACCTATATTTATATATTTTTTGAGATGGAATCTTGCTCAGTCACCCAGCCTGGAGTGCAGTGGCGCGATCTCGGCTCACTGTAACCTCCACCTCCTGGATTCAAGCAATTTTCCTGCCTCAGTCTCCTGAGTAGCTGGGGTTATAGGCATGCACCACCACGCCCAGCTAATTTTTGTATTTTCAGTAGAGACGGGTTTCACCCTGTTGGCCAGGTCTCGAACTGACCTTAAGTGATTCACCCGCCTCAGCTTCCCAAAGTGCTGGGGTTACAGTTGTAAGCCACTGCACCTGTCGCTAAGCTGTTTTCAGTACTGGGCCTCACTAGTAGAGAGAGGCGTATCATAAACAGGTAAACAGATTGAACAGCTCCAGGTAGGACCATGCATGAAACTGTGATGTGGTGCATGTCTGGGAGTTCAGCACCACTAGAGCAGTTGCTCAGGAGTCGCTTCTGGAGAGGACGACCATGAAGCTGAGACTGGGCAGGTGAGCAGGAGGCAGCATATGGGACTGGACGAGAGAGTTCCAGCTCAGGGAAGAGCAGCGCCGAAGGTGGGGACGGGGGAAAGCATGGCCAAGAAATAGACAGGAAGCCCGTGAGCTGGAGCCCACAGTGAACGAGGGAGGAAGCGGCTTGATAAGAGGCTGAAGAAGTAAGTAAGTGAAATGGGTACAGGACCTTAGAGGCCTTGGTAAGAAACTTGGATTTTGTCTGTATGCTTTAAGAAGCCATGGGAGGGTTTTAATCAGACGTAGGAGCGACGTGGCATGATCCACTACTACTGTCTTGTTTGTGGGACATGCTTGATTCGTGTCTTTTTGGGGTTTTATTGATCTCACTCTTGTTGCCCAGGCTGGAGTGCAGTGGCACAATCTCAGCTCACTGCAACCTCCACTTCCCGAGTACAAGTGATTCTCCTGCCTCAGCCTCCTGAGTAACTGGGATTACAGACATGGGTTGCCACGCCTGGCTAATTTTTGTATTTTTAGTAGAGATGAGGTTTCTCCATGTTGGCCAGGCTGGTCTCGAACTCTTGACCTTGTGATCTGCCCACCTGGCCTCCCCAAAGTGCTGGGATTATAGGCATGAGCCACTGCACCCAGCTGTGATTCATGTTTTTAAACGATTCTCCAGTTGTTTTATGGGCAGAGAGCTCTAGGAGGGCATGAGCTGAGGCAGAGAGAGCAGCTGGGAGGCCACTGCCACCGTCCGTGGTTTGGAGGACGGTGGTGGCGGTGGAAATGGAAAGGAGTGAACAGAATCAGATCTGTTCAGAGGAAGGACCGACAGGATTCTCTGATGGGTCGGACGGCAGGGAAGGGAGCGTGCGTGTGGATGCCGAGGAGGAGGAGTCAGCGCCAAGGCTCCTAACCCTGGTAGCAGGCTAGAGGCGAAATGGATTTGGGAAGGTCAGGGAGGGCGTTGGACTTGAGAGCATGTGCTGAATCTCAGGTATGCTGAACATATGTGCCACTAGAATCGAAGTTGCAGCTAGTCCTTAGGGGCTGCCACCGCCTTGGCGGCACCTCCCTGAAGTGCTTCCTTTCTCCTACCCTTGTCTGTGGCAGGTGATGCCTCTGAAGGCCGTCTGCGCCTCAGGACTGGGGCACATTAGAGCCCTGCACTGAAAGAACTCATGTATTTTTCGTTCTGGTCTCTAGGCTGGTGGACCACCTGCTGGCTGCCGCCGTAGCTTAGACTTTTACCAATGCTGATGGGTATTTTGCAGCCGGGCACAGTGTGGCTTACACCTGTAGCCCCATCTGCTCCAGAAGCTGAGGTGGGAGGATTGCTTGAGCCCAGAAGTTCAAGGCTGTAATGAGCCATGACCATGCCTATGAATAGCCACCACACTCCAGCCTGGACAGTATAGCGAGACCCATCTATAAGAAAACATTCTGATGGGCATTTTAAAGGAAAGCCAGTTTTTACTCAGTCACATCCCCAAGGGGAGAGCATGGGCTTGGAGCCAGATTCATTTACTAGCTTTGTAGACCACCCCAGGGTTTTTAACCTCCAGTCTCTCTCCTGCACATAAGGAATATCAAAGCAGTGATTTCTCTCTCAGGTTTATTGGGAGGATTATTGTTTGGTAAAGTGCCAGTGTACTGCCAGAGACTGAGTTAATAAACGACCTGTAGAAAGCAGAATCATTTGTTGCTGGGGGAATGGAGCTGCAGAAATGTCAGCCTGCCTGGGTGTGGCGCTCCTGCCTGTAATCCAGCACTTCGAGAGGCTGAGGTGGGAGGATCACTTGAGCCCAGGAGCTAGAGACCAGCCTGGTCAACAGAGTGAGACCCTGTCTCTATTATAATAAACATTTAAATGTTAGCCAATACGCCCTTCATTCATCAAACATTCATTGAATACTCACTGTGTGCTCCAGGCTCGTTGGAGCATCGGTAAATGAACCACATGTGGTTCCACCCTCAGGGAACTGTTGTCTGGAAGTGAGAAAGATCAGGTGATTTCTGTACTAAAGGACTCCACAGCTAGAACAGGGCTGCTGTTGTGCGCAGCCTCGTAGGATGTTGAGAGGCAGGTATGCCAGGCACCAGAAGTCCCTGCAGGCCTGAAGCTGGAAACCCTGGGAACGTGTGCTTTCCCAACCTGCCTCAGCTGCTGAGTGTGTGTTCACGCCTCCCTCTCACTGTTACTCTGACGTCTGCCTGGCTGTCTTCACAGGAAGGGTGGTAGGACGGTTCTACGGAGAGGATGGGCTGCCTACCCCGGCACTGACCCAGGCGGAAGCTGTGATCACCAAAGGCTTGGAGGCAAACCAGCAAGAGCTGGAAGAGAAGCAGACGTTCCCGCCGTGCAATGCGGAGTGGAGCTCAGCTAGGGGCAGCCGGCTCTGGTGTTCCCAGAAGAGGTAAGCATGCTCCCTTCTGTTCTTTCTGCCTGTCACAAACCCACCTTCCGGGTCATCCTGTCTACATTACTCAGTGAATTCAGGGACTGGATGGTTAACCCCTAGAACTTTTTCAAAATTCTGATAATCATTCCCAACCTCACCTGCATATTAGATCTGGGGAACGGCAGAAATGACGGCTGGTCAGACCTCACTCCAGCCAACAGAGTGAGAATATTAGGGTCGAGACTTGGACTTGAGCCCTGGGCATTTTTATTTTTTCCAAATTCTCCAGAGATCCTGCTGACACCACCTCCGCCCAGGAATGAGGAGGCACGAGCCCGATTTCTTGCTTTCTCTGGCCCGTTCAGCCGTCCCCGGGTTTGGTTTCCTATTTGACAGCACAAATCCTGGCTGTCTACAGGAGAGACAGGCAAGGAGGTGGGGACAGCACGCGCAGGGATGGCTTCTGCTGGTGTCTTCAAAACAAGGTGAGCCGGCGTGGTGGCACACCTGTGGTCCTGGCTACTTGGGAGACCGAGGCAGGCAGGTCGCTTGAGTTCAGGAGTTGGAGTCCAGCCTGGGCAACATAACAAAAAAAGTCACAACAGCAGCAACAAAAACACTGCAGATTTGGACTTCTCAGCCTTAAGTGAGGGGAGCAATGGCAAAGGTAGCAGGGAGGAAAGCCCCTTCTTTCCTGGCTACTAGCTTTGAAGAGACAGCTTCTCCAATGTCATCATCTCAAGAAAGAGGGGAGAGACTGTGAGATCCTGGCCTGCTCACCTCACGGAGAGAAGCTGAGATACGGGGGGGCCTTCCTGTGACCCAGGCCTGAGTGCAGGTGGCCCAGAGAGCACTGGTCCTCCAGAGGAGGCTCCAGGAGGCCTGTGTGCGTTCAGATGCTCGACTGCACCTCTGGGGCCTGCCTCCTTTTCCCTCCCCGCTGTCTGCTGAAGCCCTTCTCGCTTTCGTGACCGAGGAGTTCAGGCTCTGCCTTCCCGCAGAACCCTCCAGAGCCGCCCCGGGGAATGGAGGGCCCATCCCTGTGCTTCAGCTCAGCTTGTTGCTTTCTGTTCACTCACGTGTGTCCCCCATTAGACTGGGAGGAACAAGTGTCAAAGGCAGGGGCCAGGCGTGGAGTCAGGCCACCGAGGATGGCATGGAGGCTGGGTGGAAGGGGAGGCATTTTGGTGACAGCCTTATTCTTGGTAAGCTAGAAGTCGGGTGTTTCTCACTGGCTGGCGGTTTCTCTGCCTGCAGTCGGTCTGCTCGCAGGCACTGGAACCTGTATGAGGCATCAGTTCCAAGAACCTCATTTTCCTTTTTCAAGGCCTGTGAGTCCTTGAGAGACTGAACCCAGAACCCTGAGATGAGCTAGGTCCCTCTGCCCGAGGTAGGAGGTTGCTCAGGTGATGTTGGGCCAGAGCTGAGTCCTCCATGTCTGAAGCCTGGCGCCATCAAGGACTGGACCTGTCGGGCACAGGCCTGCTTGCAACTACACCATGTGCCAAGGGCTTCCCAGAGAAGGCTGACTCAGGTGACCAGGGCACAGCGGCCAGTTGCCCACCCCCACCCAAGTGCCCCAGAGAGGAATGTGAAGACACTGGCCAGTGCTGGGTTGTAGAGGGGAAGGAGGAAGCCACACCCAGACCCTGCTTCTGAGAAGCTCGCTGGCCAGCAGGGAACTTTTCCCAGCTGCTAGCAGCAGTGCAGGCACGTGGCGCAGCCTCCTAGGATGGGCAGGGCAGGGCTAGGGTGCAGCGAACGGAGCCGTGGACTCTGCCCATGGCCTGGGCAGGCTGGAGGAACTCAGGAGAGAGCATGAAGGCTCGGGCTGAACACCGTGGCCTGCTGCCTTGGGAGACACTCCTGTGGGCTTCTGCTTTTCACATGGCCTGGCTCACAGCTTCCTGCTCTCCCCTGCCCAGAGACTCATGAGTTCTTACATTTAAGAAGTCCTCTTTCCATCTGTCCATAGCGGAGGTGTGAACAGAGACTGGACTGGTGTCCCCAGGAAGCTGTATAAGCCAGGTGCTAAGGAGCCCCGCTGCGTGTGTGTGAGAACCACGGGCCCCCCTAGTGACGAGATGCCGGACAGCCTGACACACAGAAATCGTGGGGACTTGGACCACCCACACTTGGCGGAATACACGGGCTGCCCACCTCTCGCCGTCACGTGCTCCTTCCCACTCTAAGCGGAGACTTTCATGTGGCTGACACACAGAGCTCTGCTGAGAACTTGAGCATGCCCTTGACATGTGTGTGGCCTGGGATGGCCCCTGGCGTGAAACAGGAGGGTCTGGAAGGACTCTGGTTGTATTCTGCAAATGTGACTCTTGCCCCTCTCCTTGGCTTAGTGCCATGGGGCCCGAGGGACAGCGCAGCCACCTGCCTAGTACTGGTCAGCGGCTCACCACTACTCCCCTCAACCCACTAGTCATCTTCCTCAGAGCCTGCAGATGTCAGTGGGCACGGCTGTTATCAGCTGAATTTGAACTTGAATTTATTCCCAAAAGCCTGCTGAGCTGATCATAGCTGGGCCAATATAGTAAGAGGCAATCATCACTTAGGATGGCTGATTCTGGAACCGGGAAAGCTTTTACTTACGTGGATACAGCAAATCCAGCAACAATTTAAAGCAGAGGCATTTTCTCTCCTTTAAGGACTTAAAATCAGGTGTGGTGTGTTTTCAAAGGAGAGGTCTGCATTTTGAGCAAAAGGTGGTTTCCCAGCTCTGACAAGGTAACTGGTTAGCATGACATTACATTGGGCAAGGCTGCAGACTTCAGGTGGCTGGGCTTCCGCTTATGCAGTGTGTGTGTGTCCAGGGTCATCTGCCATGCCCTACACTTGACAGACGTCACACCTGTTACCTCTTGACTGCCTACTAAGGTAAGGTAGATGGGGACAAGGCGTGTTCCCACTTCACAGACAAGTGGAGGCCAGCACCACCGCCGCGCCATGGCCTCTGCTCCTCACCCGCAGAGCTTTGCCTGACTCCCTTCCCACTCACAGTCTCACCCTAGACATCCTCTAGCCTTCCTCCCCTCTCCCCTGCCTCCCTTCTCTCCATCATTGATTTCACCAAATCACTTCCAGATTCACAGACTAGAAAATAGAGGCTGCCCCCTCCCCTTCACCAGAGACCCGCGGCTCACTGCCCTTGTGGTCACAGCTGTTCCTTCCACTTGGGCACTGGTTCATGGCTCCTTTCGTCTGCCCCCTCCCCACCCCCATCTGAGCCTGCCCCTCTTGTACCTTTCCCCTCTCCCCGCCTCCTGGATCTTCCCCAAGTACGCACGAAACCGCTCCCTCCTCCCACGTCATAAATAAACACTCCCTCACCCGCACGGTTTGGGCTTTTACTTACTAGCTTTGCTTTTCAGCCCCAGTTGCTCTAACCACCAGGACAGATTCTGCGTTGGCACGTTCCACGGTCACACCCAGCCCCTATCCAAGCCTTGTCCTCCACGGAACCCTCACTGGCCTTTGTCCTGCTCCGTCTGTCCCTCCACCCTTCCTTCTTAGTTGCCTTGAAAACCTTGTTTTACCTCCACAAACCCCTTCCCATTGGCTTCTCTCACTCCAAATCCAGCATCAAACCTGCATCTCTGCCCCAGGTAGATTTCCAGAGTATTCCATCTTCCCTCCCATGCTGCTTCTAGTTCTCAGGGTGAGGGGCACCAGCAGCCACACTTGGTCAAACCCAGTCAGAACCCTGGCAGCTGCCCACACTCTGCCCGCCCTCCTCCTCCTAGCCCGCCTGCAGGTCCTGGCGGCTGTGTCTCCCCGATTCTCTCCTCTTCCTTCCCTCTTCCCTGTCCCCAGTACTCCTCCTCTGGCCTAGGCTGTCACTTCTCACTCGGATTACTGAGGAGCCTGACTGCTCCCTCCCTTCAGTCCCTCCTTCACACTGCTGTGAGACGTCTTTTTTTTTTTTTTTTTTTTTTTTTTTTTTTTTTTTGAGATGGAGTTTCGCTCTTTTCCCCAGCCTGGAGTGCAGTGGCGCAATCTCGGCTCACTGCAAACTCCGCCTCCCAAGTTTGAGTGATTCTCCTGCCTCAGCCTCCCGAGTAGCTGGGATTACAGGCGTGCACCATCACACCTAGTTTTTTGTATTTTTAGTAGAGATGTGGTTTCACTATGTTGGTTAGGCTGGTCTCAAACTCCTGACCTCTTGATCCCCCTGCCTCGGCCTCCCACAGTGCTGGGATTACAGGCATAAGCCACCGCACAAGGCCCAGGGCCGTCTTTCTTAGTGATGATCAGGGCATCCCCCATTTGCGCCTCCACAGGGGCTCCCCTTATCTATAAGGACTCAGTGCCACTCCTCTGCTGCGGGGCACAGGAGGCCCCTCTGTGGCCTCTCCTCTTAGGCCTGTACCTTTCCAGTCTCCTCCCCGTGCACCTCCTCTCCTATGTTATGCCTGCAGTGTCTTTACCCAAGCTGTTTCTTTTGCCTGGAATGACACATCTTCCTCTGTTGAATTAATCCACCCTGTATTTCTTCAATATTCAGTTCATTCAGGCCCCTCTTGGGAGCCTTCATTAACTGTTGGCCTGACAGAGGCACTTTCCTTGGCTCCTGTGGCACTGTGCTTATACCACAGTGGGTTCTTACGATGAACTTCCCTGCCAGCCTCTTGCACTGGACTCAGATACTCTGAGGACAGAGCCCCAGTGTGACCCAGCGCTGTACCCCTATATCCACTTTACTCAGCACCATACCCTATATCCACGTGACTCTGCAACATATCCCTATATCAGCGTAACTCAGTGTAACCCTGTCAGCATGACTCAGCACCATACCCCGTATCCACGTGACTCAGCGCCTTACCTCTTTATTCTTGATTCAGCTCCATACTCTTATAGCTACGTGACTCAGCACCTTACCCCTATATCCACGATTCTGCAATGTATCCCTATATCAACATGACTCACTGCCTTACTCCTATATAAACATGACTCAGCGTCTTATTCCCATATCCACGTGACTCTACAGTGTATCCCTATATCAACATGACTCAGCGTCTTACTCCCATATCCACGTGACTCTACAGTGTATCCCTATATCAACATGACTCAGCGTCTTACTCCCATATCCACGTGACTCTACAGTGTATCCCTATATCAACATGACTCAGCGTCTTACCCCTATATCCACGTGACTCTGCAACGTATCCCTATATCAACATGACTCAGCACCTTACCCCTATATCCATGTGACTCGGCTCCAAACCCCCATATCAACATGACTCAGCACCGTACCTCTATATCCACGTGACTCAGAGCCACACTCCTGTATCCACGACTCTGCAATGTATCCCTATATCAACATGACTCAGCACCGTACCCCTATATATCCACTGCACCTGGCACGTGGAAAGTGTGTGCAGAGTTTTTTTTTTGAGGTAGGGTCTCATTCTGTTGCCCAGGCCAGAGTGCAGTGGCGTGATCGTATCTCATGCGGCCTCTACCTCCCGGGCTCAAAAAGATTTTCCAACTTCAGCCTCCTGAGTAGCTGGGACTGTGGGCATGTGGTAGCATGCCTAGTTTTTTATTTTTGTAGAGATGGAGTTTCACCATGTTGCCCAGGCTGGTCTCGAACGCCTGGGCTCAGTCTGCCCACCTCGGCCTCCCAAAGTGCTGGGATTACAGGTATGAGCCAAGGAGCGTTTTGGAGATAAGGCAACAAAAGCACATAGAACTTAAGGTCGCTGAGCATGGAGCTGAGCCCAGAACTCCAAGCTCTTGGCACCTGATTCGGTGCCATTTTCACTCCTCCGAATTTCTGTATCTCTGCAGAACGGAGAAGAGCTGACATTAGGATTTTCTTCCGAGTTCTAGGCAGTCCCTGAGCTCAGTGCTGAGACTTCGCTGTTAACCAAAACAGCTCCCAGCTCTGTGCCAACTGGAAACTTCTCTGCCCCTGACTTAGTGCTCCTTAGTTATTCTGCAGGTAACTTACCAAGCACCTACTATGTGCTAGGCATCATGTTAAGGTTGGGGGGTTGGAGGAGCAAGGTTCCTGACCTCAGGGGCGAGTATAGTCTGGTGGAATCAACCCGATTAGAGCTGCCACAGGCTGTTCTGATCCTTCAAAAAAACGAACTAAGCAAAGGAGCATTAGTCATTCCAGTCAGGTGCACTCTGGCCGTGCCTGGAGGGCACCTATCTCTGGTGACAGACCCCTAGTTCAGGCTCCAGGACAAACGCGGCCGGCCTTAGGGGTCTGCTCAGGGCCTTGCTCAGTGAGAACTGCTTTTCACACTGACCTACAGTGCCTGCCGTGAGCCACAATCTGGGCCAAGAGCACACTAAGTTCAGGCAACTACTCACTGTGTTTAAATAACGACTTTTGGGGAGCTAAGCCATGAGGACATAAAAGCCTACGAGTGATAGAGTGGACTTTGGGGACTCGGGAAGGGGTTGGGAGGTGAGGGATAAAAGATGACAGTGTACAGTGCTGGGGTGATAGGTGCACCAAAATCTCAGCAATCACCACGAAAGAACCTACATGTAAGCAAACACCACCTGAAACCCAAAAACTTACTGATATTTTTAAAAATTAATTAAAAATAAATAAGTAAAAGCTTTTTGGCTGCTGTCAACAGCATGTTCCTGAAAAATGTTGGAATTGGGACTTTCCTAGAGGGTGGCTGGTAAGAAATTTATTCAAGTCAGGAGTTCTTTAAAATTTGTTTTAATTGGTACTTCTGCATTAGAAGTAACTACAAATGTCTTATTAAAGTTTCCACTTTAAATGCACAATTTTACTTCATTTTATTGTAAGGAATTGTTACAGAAAATGCAAATATCAGTATTTGAAAAATACATTCCATTACACAGACCCCAAAGAAACGATGCTGATAAGCGCCATGGTCCTACATGATACCGTCACCCCACACTGAGCACTGCCCGAACGGGCTGGAAGCCTGGGTGACTGGCCGAATGTGTGCCTGCAGTTTCTGCCCAGCTAAGGCCCCTCCTCTGGGGTCACAGGGATGTCGTGGTAACAGCCAGCTCCACACATCTGCCAAAAAGGGCAAGTCATCAAGTCAAGCAGTCCTGACTCAAGACTCCCTAGCTGCAGAAAAGCAATGTTAGTTGTAACAGGTTACTATATTATTTCTGCCACACGGAAAAGGAATTGTACAGGCAATGATCTTCCAAACAAAGTCTGTAAGGCATCTGTAACTTCTGGGAATTTCAGGGTTGGTATCTTGTCAGTCAGCTCTTCACTAAATTACTTCCACAGAGAGAGAAGGTGGCTTCCGAGTCCCGCTGGTGAGCTGTGCCCCTGCTTCCTCTGCTCCCAGGCTGGGAGTGGGGAGCTTTGGTGCTTCAGCTAGTTCTAGGACTTGTCCCAAGGGAAGCAACTGTCTGTCATGGAGGCGTGACCCTTACTTGTTCAAGCTGCTGTCACCTGGGAAGATGGCTTGACTTTCAGGGCTAAGCATTACAAAGTTCAGAGAGTTCTTTTTCTCCAGATAAAGGAAAACTAGATGGAGGTGAAGGCCCTCCCTTTTCCCAAGATGTTCCCTCCACGCCATGCCTATGGACAAGATTAGTGCAGTCACGGTTCAATACGGCAGGTGTGGGACATGGACGGGAGGAGTGGCGAAGCCACACACACGCTGAGCTCCACACAGGGATGTGAGTGAGGGCACGGAACGGGGTGGCCAGAGATGACTCGGGGCTCTGAGGTAGAGGACTCAAGGCCACGTAGACCCCACTCCTTGGAGAGAACGTGGCAGGTGAACTGAGCAATCTAATCCAGCCTCAACT